TTGCAAAATTGCAAATTGCAAAAATGTGTTCGCTGGAAGAAATTTGCTGGCGATTTTCACGAGGATATAAAACAAATTTGCAAATGGCTGCAGAATGTGGAGAAGGGAGTTTAAGGCTGAAAAATAAGAAACGGAGAGAACTGACAGATCCTTCCATCCCTAGCATGGACACACCTCTGCCGTGATGCGTGTGATTGCAGCAGCCTGAGAAAGGGGCACTGTGATTGTAGAAACTGCATGAGTCTCCCCTGACCCCATGGCGATGTGAGTATAGGTGACAGTTTATATGCATGGAGCGGTTTCCGTTTACAGAATCTGGTCTGTGCGAAACAGTTCCAAGGCGATGCAAACGTGAATTCTGGCAGCAAAAAAATAAAACAAAAATAAAAAAATTGATCTAAAAGATAGCTAAAAACTTGGTGCAATGTCAGGAAAAGGGAGCTCAGTCCCTACGAAGGATAATAATATAGTACAGACTCACTGTACACTGTTGTTGTAAAGATTGCAACTCTACAAATGTTAAGCAGTATCATGTGTACTTACGAGGAACTTAGGCTTTCCAGGTCTGTGGATCCTTACATGGCCAAAAAGGGCACTATCCACATGTAAATGGGAGGCATCATCAGTTTGAGATGAATGCTGAGGTATTCAAAAGTACTCCTCAAATCCTAGGGGAGGAAACCGCCAACAGTAATGACTGAGCATATTCTGTGGTCTGTTTTGGGCCAGAGGCAGAGAGCTGGAACACCACTAGGGAGTAGGAAAGGAATGGAGTATCCAGGAACATGAGGTGGCTGGCTGGCTGACTCCCTCTACTCCACATTAGAACATTTTATTGCAGATACAGTGGTTCTCGGGTTAAGAACTTAATTTGTTCTGGAGGTCCGTTCTTAACCTGAAACTGTTCTTAACCTGTGGTACCACTGTAGCTAATGGGGCCTCCCACCGCCGCCGCCGCGCGATTTCTGTTCTCATCCTGAAGCAAAGTAAGTACTATTTCTGGGTTAGTGGAGTCGGTACCCTGAAGCGTTACCACTTATTACTATTACAGTTTTTTTTAAAATAAATAAAAAGGCAACTTGGGTAAAAACTGAAAACGGACTGCTGAGAACACTGCTAATGGAAGGAAGCATTTTGAACTCTTCCTGCACTCCTGATGTGCAATATATTTTAAACATCTCTCTCTCTTAAGGCTACAGCATAATATTCTGCCTATTTGCACCCTTCCTGGGCAGAAGAGCAGATAAGGAAATATTTTTTCATGAGTGTGGCTGCAGGGCAATAAATGTGTTGTGTCCATCGATAACTGGACAGTGTTTCTTATTTTACTTGCTTGCTGCTTCTTGCAGAGCTTTTATGTTCCTTTCTGCTCCTCTTGCTTGCTGCAGAATGAATTTTGCCAGCGCTGTTCTTTATTTACTACCTTTAATAGCACAGTGAATCTTCGCAGCCTTATGGACCTAAACTTCTGCCTTGGTACAGATGCTTATATCTTGTTATAAAAGACAGTGGCAACTTGATATCTCCTAATGAAAAGAAAACCAAATTGAATGGAAGAATAAATGAGAGCTGGGCACATTCCCCCCACAAAGTCTCCATCCTATTAGTGGTCAGAGAAATTGAGGGGTGCAGTTCGCTGAATTTCTTCAGGGGGAGCAAAAATTCTCCAACAGTTTCTCAGAGGTGAGGCTCACCATTAGCATGGCAGTAACATATCATCTTCATTTTTTCCAGAGGGTTGTTGGGTATTTTTTTTGCTGCCTCTCCTGTGTGGCAGCAAAAGCAATCAGGTCAGCAATGCTACAGGACCTGGTGTTTCTCTCTTTCTGTATGGGGAAAGTGGGGGGCACTGTGTGAAGTGACAGCGCCACAAAAAAATAAACATGGTGAAGAATATTTGGTGAAAATTTTGTAAAAGCCCCTTTTTTTCTGGAGGCTTTTTGGTTCCGAGGGAAAAATTTTCAGTACCCCCCCCCCGACATCTTCCTAGAAAAATGTCTTCTGAGACATTTCGGCTCAACTTTAAAATAAGCTAGTTGTCTTCAACTTTTTCAGATCCAGAGCTTCCTGCCACAAGTTAATTTGGTTACCTCAGATCTTTCTCCTTATATTTATTTTCCTGTTCACTCATCTGTTTCTTTCTGTTTTTTTAAAAAACCACCCCTTCCAAATGTGTGGTGGTTCCATTGATGAGTTGCACCATAGATCAGGATTCTATCTGCTGATGACTAATAGGATAAGCAACCATCGCTCTGTCCAGTGGCATTGGGGTAAAATTTGAAGTGTGGGCACTCATCGTGGCAGTCCCTAAAAGCATGCATCCAGTGCCGGATTTACGTATAAGCTAAACAAGCTATAGCTTAGGGCCCCACTCTCTTGGGGCCCCCAAAAAATTTAAAGTGAAAAAACTGGATGTACATTTCTAAAATATAAGATAAATAAAATAAAATAAAACCTACATACAGCAATAGTGTTTTGTGTTGTGTAGGTTCCTGTGATATAAGTAATGGGCCCCGCCTGCTAGCCTGCTCCCTAAAATATCACTGGTTTGCTCATTTCTATATCAGTTACTTTGATAAAATACATATTTTGTTATGTGCAAATGGCTTTAGATACCTATGAGAGCCAGTGTGGTGTAGTGGTTAAGAGCGGTAGTCTCGTTATCTGGGGAACCGGGTTCGCGTCTCCGCTCCTCACATGCAGCTGCTGGGTGACCTTGGGCCAGTCACACTTCTTTGAAGTCTCTCAGCCCCACTCACCTCACAGAGTGTTTGTTGTGGGGGAGGAAGGGAAAGGAGAACGTTAGCCGCTTTGAGACTCCTTAAAGGGAGTGAAAGGTGGGATATCAAATCCAAACTCTTCTTCTTCTTCTTCTTCTTCTTCTTCTTCTTCTTCGGTCCATAAATTACCATATAGCATATATTCAACACAAAAAACAGCGACAATTTGTTGTTGACAAAGGACAGCTGGACATATAAAGGGCCCCATTACCTTCAGTAGCTTAGGGCCTCATCAAACCTAAATCCGGCCCTGCATCCACCCACACTCAGTGTAAACCCATTTAAATTAATGGACAAGTTATTTAAGCGCACAGAACATTGGAAAAATATCTCTAGCAAGCTGAAATGTGAGTTATTGCTTCATATTCTAAAGGCAAGCAATAGTTAAATCGCTACAGAAACGGAAAAGAAGTACCCAGCTTCTGCTTTATTATTTTCTTAGGTAAATGCATGTCAGACATGCTGCTTCCACCGTCCCAAAAATCATTGTTACATAGAGAAAAATATTATTTAATATCAAGGCTGGGAAACCTGGCCTTGAACTCACATCATCCATGCTAGCTAGGTCTTGATGGGAGTTGGAGTCTAGAAACGCCTCGAGGGTTGCAGGTTTCAGAGACTCGATGTAAACCACTGTGTACAATAGATTATATTCTCACAGCAAATAATACTGGAGCTTAAAATATAATGGGTGTGCTCTTTGAGGCAGAGCTGGCAATTGGAGCTAGATTAAAGCCCACTTGAACTGGCAAGATGAGTGGAAATTATCGCGACCTTATGGGGGTGGGTGATGAGGCTGTGGTGATTCATGCAAAGTCTGCTTTGTCATGTTGGCTTTTGACCAAAGAGGGAGGCTGGTAGCTCTGAAGGGCCGCCACCTCTGTTCTTGCTCATTGAGCCAATTTTCCCCTTTATGCATGTATGACAAATGAGGATGGAGTGAGCCCAGTAGCTCTCACTGTCTTGTCCAGGAAATATCCCCAGTGGATCTTGTCCTCTTGTCAAGGCCTGGCCTTCTTCCCACTCCATAGCTGCTTCTTAGCAGAGGCAGAAGTAAGGCCGATATCTATAGCCAAAGAAAAATGACCGCTCAGGCAAATATGAGCCTTACATTCCCCTTCCCGTAATGCCTCCAATTTAATAAGTGTCTGCAGAAAAGAGTGTTTCTCACCATGAGTTATTTAGTCACTATTCCATCTAGGGTATCGCTGACATTCTGAAGGGAGCATCTAAAGGGATGATTTGCTGTCAGTCTCTTGTATGCTTTAAGTCCATTCATTTTCTGCCTCTAACAGGGGAAGATAATGCTGTGATACAAAGTAAAAGATAGATGATAAAAACAATTCTTTAAAGGGGGAAAGGAATCAGACACCAGAGACTTGGCTGGGGGGAAATATATGACAGAATGCTCCATTCTTCCGCTCAAAGTAGCGCAATAAACTATAATGGAAGCGAAACACAGTTCATAGGAGGAGTATCAGAATATGTATTTCAGCAGTCTCTACATGGTACTGAAACGCTTTGAAAGCCGATGATTTGTGTCACCATATTCATATTTTCCTGTCAAGAATACAATGCTCCTTGCTGCTATTTCAGAACTAATATGAACATTGTTAAAACAGGTGAGAATTACAAGGGATTGATGGTTAGAAACTTCCAATTTAAATATAGGTAAGCCCAAATTATTATTTTCCCTTCTTTTTTTCCACGTGTGCATGTGAGATCACTTTTTATTACATTAATACCTGCCCTTACTCCATGGAGCTCAGAGGGATGTATGTGGGATCATTTCTTCCTTATTTTAGTCATTATTTCCATTTCTCTATCCCACTTCCTCCCTCTATCCCACCACTACATGTCAATGGCGGCTAACAGCAGTGAAAGATAAAATTACAATGTTCCTAGTTCCTTTTGGGGAAGCCATGACTGTTTAAAGGGACATGATACTGCTTAGAGTGCAAGTAAATTGAATGGAAAATCACCAACCAGGAGCAAGAAACTTTAAGCAGCCCAACACACCAAAGGCCTGTCTGCACAAGATGAAGCATGTTCTAGAGTCTGGGCAAAGCCTCTCTGAAAGCCCATAGGGCAGGCATGCACAAGCGCCGGGAGGGCGAGGTGAGCTGGGGCCCAGCGCGCCAAGGGAGAAATGAGCCCTCTTGGCCATGGCACCTTGTGGGGTCAGGGCCAGTGGAGTTTCAGGAAAGTGAACATTACACCTGGAGAAGCCAGGATTCAAACCTGGGACCTTCTGCATGCAAAGCGGGTGCCCCACCACTGAGCTATGGCCTTTCCCCTCTCCTCCATCAGTAGCTCTGGGAGATTTATCTAGTGGCAGCTGTGGAAGGCAGCAGTAAGGTAGAGGTAAAAGACCCCTGGACGGTTAAGTCCAGTCAAAGGCGACTATGGGGTTGCAGCGCTCATCTCGCTTTCAGGCTGAGGGAGCTGACGTTTGTCCACAGACAGCTTTCCGGGTCATGTGGCCAGCATGACTAAACAGCTACTGGCACAATGGAACACCGTGACGGAAACCAGAGTGCATGGAAACGCTGTTTACCTTCCCGCCACAGTGGTACCTATTTATCTACTTGCACTGGTGTGCTTTCGAACTGCTAGGTTGGCAGGAGCTGGTACAGAGCAATGGGAGCTCAGCCCGTCATGGGGATTCGAACTGCCAACTTTCCGATCAGCAAGCCCAAGAGGATCAGTGGTTTAGACCACAGTGCCACCCGCAGCAGTCGCAGCACTCTGAGTTGGGTCCAGCCACATTTTAAATTTCTCTTTTATTGCAGTGCTGCTCCCGGGAAAACGACTCAGCTGCCCATTTGTGCTTGGAGTATTAGGCCAATTTTTGTAAAGAAGTGGGGAGACATGTGGGCATCATCAGCGGGCCCTACCAGCTGACTACGGATACCAGGGGTTGACCAAGGCCCTGCCCTTTATAAAGAGCTCTGCACACACTCTGATGTACACAGAATCGTAGTCAGAAGGGACCAGGGTGGGACCTGCTGAATTTGGGACTTGCACCCAAGCAAGCATGTTTAGGTTCAAACTGTATATATGCAGATGATGAGCGAGATAAGGTAAAGGTACCCCTGCCCGTACGGGCCAGTCGTGTCTGACTCTAGGGTTGTGCGCCCATCTCACTTAAGAGGCCGGGGGCCAGCGCTGTCCGGAGACACTTCCGGGTCACGTGGCCAGCGTGACGAAGCTGCTCTGGCGAGCCAGCACCAGCGCAGCACACGGAAACGCCGTTTACCTTCCCGCTATAAAGCGGTACCTATTTATCTACTTGCACTTAGAGGTGCTTTTGAACTGCTAGGTGGGCAGGAGCTGGGACCAAAAGACGGGAGCTCACCCCGCCACAGGGATTCGAACCGCCGACCATGCGATCGGCAAGTCCTAGGCACTGAGGTTTTACCCACAGCACCACCCGCGTCCCCCAGGTGAGCGAGATACGCTGTAGTTATTACTTCCAGTGATGACCTTTGTGACTTCATGTAAGTCCTTCCCCACAAATTAATCATGAGCTATTAGGAAGCGATTCCCCATATCTCACGCCAACTCTCTCTGCAAACCGCTAAACTCTCTTCCAGAGGGGAGAAAAATATACTTCCTTAGTCTATTGAGGATTACCCATGTCAGGGGAAGTTATATGATTGTCTTTAGCGCTGATAGGAATTACTTTCAGGGTGTTCCAGCTCATTACATCGAGCCTTCATCAGCTATTTTCCAAACTGCAGTAACCTTTGCGATACAGGTGCTGTAGATCTCTGTCCTATTGATTCCACTTTTGCAGCTACACTGTGCTCATGTAAACAGAGTGCAAAGCCAGATAGGAAACTGTAAAACAGCAAGCAATTTGGCACCTTGAAGAACACAGATAAAAACTTAAGGTAATCAGCACAAATGTTGTGGAACTCATTTCGATGTATAGTGGGGGCTGAAATCCACATCTATCTAACGTAAAAGCTCTGAGATACAGATCCGAGTGATACAAACAGACTGATCTAAGCCTAGTTGGTAGTATTACAGCTGCAGCAGATTTCTGTAATACTACCAGTGAGGCTTGTGGGACTCGGGTGGCGCAGTGGGTTAAACCACAGAGCCTAGGACTTGCCGATCAGAAGGTCGGTGGTTCGAATCCCTGCAACAAGGTGAGCTCCCGTTGCTCGGTCCCAGCTCCTGCCAACCTAGCAGTTTGAAAGCACGTCAAAGTGCAAGTAGATAAATAGGTACCGCTCCAGCGGGAAGGCAAATGGCATTTCCGTGCGCTGCTCTGGTTCGCCAGAAGCGGCTTAGTCATGCTGGCCACATGACCCGGAAGCTGTATTGGCTCCCTCGGCCAATAAAGCGAGATGAGCGCCGCAACCCCAGAGTCGGTTACGACTGGACCTAATGGTCAGGGGTCCCTTTACCCTTTACCTTTACCTTACCAACAAGGCTTAGAGTTGAGCTAGATGGTAGATCATGTTCCACAGAAGGTTGGTCCCTCTCCAGACAGATGTTTTATTGCAGGCGCATTCTGCAACATTCTGCACCCAATAGGAGCGCTTTGGTGGTGGATTTAGAATAACAGAATCATTGAGTTGGAAGGCACCCTGAGGATCATGTAGTCCAACCCCCTGCAACGCAGGAATATGCAGCTGTCCCATATGAGGATCGAACCCGCAACCTTGGCGTTATCTGCACCATGCTCTAACCAACTGAGCTATTCTACTTCTGCGATACTTCCCCAATGCAACCACATTATTGCTGCCCAGAGGGGCTATAGTGCAACAGAAGCAGGGCAAAAATAAACCAGAACATATGTGGTATAAAAAGTTACAGGGTTCCAGCAGGAAGTTACAGGATATGCACTGGTTGCAAATGAAGCAGTGTGGCCACCCCAAATCATTTGCAGGTTCAAACAGTATTGAAATACTGTTCTGTGGGTTATAAATGTCTCATTGGTTTGCTAATCAAATACAGTGGTACCTTGGGTTACATACGCTTCAGGTTACAGACTCCGCTAACCCAGAAATAGTACCTCAGGTTAAGAACAGGAATTGTGCTCTGGTGGTGCGGTGGCAGCGGGAGGCCCCATTAGCTAAAGTGGTGCTTCAGGTTAAGAACAGTTTCAGGTTAAGAACGGACCTCCAGAATGAATTAAGTTCTTAACCTGAGGTACCACTGTAAAATGACTTATTCTGTAATGGTGATGTTCAGCTTATTTTTTAGTTGCTGGCTGGTTTGTTAATTATATCTTACGATACATGCTGTGCTTATGATGTTCTGTTGTGTTACTGCTATCATTTGTGAGATGCTTTGGGGTTCATTTGAATGGAAAGTGGCATAGAAATACAAAAAATCAAACCAAACCAAATAAAAAGCCAGATTGCGTGTGACCACTCCGGTAGCATTAAGAGCACAAATCATTATGAATGTGCAATAAAAAAGGATTAGGGGAGTGGGTTTAGCTCTGGCTGAATGGCACTGAAGTCTGTGGCATGTTAGTTGCAACACTGAGATCACTGGGGAAAGACTGTAGCTCATAGCATGTGCTCTGCCTGTGGTAGAACGCAGGTTTTGGCCCAGGTTTAATCCCTAGTATCTCCACACAGGGCTGGGCAAGGCTCCTGCCTGAAACCCTGCCAGCATAGACAATAACAGGCAGCTTCCTATGTTTTAAACGAAAGCTCATTGATTTTTGTTGTATCTAAGCAAGACTCTTGAAGTTCCTGGCATTAGTAGCCACCTCAATGTAGCTCCTTTCAGGCCACAGATCTCTGTGTACCTGATGGGCTCCTGGTGGTTTTAGTGGAGAGTGCAGATGATCAGCCCTTAGAGCCAACATCAGCTCCTGAGGGTGGGAGGTACAAGGTACCAGGGTGAGTCAGAGGAGCAGGAATGATGAGAACACTGGGAGTCCCTGTACCATTTCAGGGGAGCCTGGGGAGCACTTGTACTTTGCACAGAGTACTTCAGACCCCACAGCACGAATCTCCAGCCTTGGAATTACTGAAAGTTATCCTGAGCTGCTGGTGTCCCACGCAAGCCTTCTTCACATTATTAGAAGAGGAAACAAAACACCCTGTTTTCACCAAATTGTCCATACTTCCTGTGCTGTTTCTATCCCACCCAGTGGCTGGATTTTGAATCCCCCAGAAAAACCACCAACTTTGCCTTAAGGTCTCCAAGCTTCACTATTGCACGCCTTTTCCGAAACCGATTAAAACAACAACAGAGGAGCCTAGCTTCCGATATCGGTGACGCCTTATATTCCCACCCCCTCCCCAGTAACTTCAAGCACTGCAGAACAAGTGTTTAATTTACTCGGATCAATTTCTGTCAAAGGCACAAGGGAAGCCTCTTTTCGGCTTGCCTCTGCGACGTTTCGTCCCTTCCCTGCTGATCAGTCTGGTGCCACTGGTGTTTATCTTGCGAACCGGTCGCTATTGCATGCTTACTTAATTGATCCTTTGTATTCACACAGGTCACCCCAGATAGGTGAGCATAGCATCCCGATGTTCATTTTCTGCTCCGTTTTGACTTTATTTCAACAACAATCCTCCCTAAGGTGCTGGCTCTGCTCTTTACAGAACTCAAGGTTTAACTCCTACCTTGTTTTCTAGCTTTTCTGAAATATGAAAGGGATCGGATGGACTTAATATTTTGCTCTGGCCTGTACATGCACCATCAACCCACAGCTGCATCAACAAGAATGTTCTTGTGTCTTTTATTCTTAAAAAAACAGAGCACAAAAACTTATATCCTTTCCCCTGCTCTTCCATGTCTGCAGAAGAGAATATTTCAGAACAGCAACATCAAAGACACCTAGTAAATCTGACAGACATTTTACTGAGCTCTCCCACTTTCTTTTTTATGAATGCAAAATTTAAAGAGGTGAATTTATGCACTTGGGTCTGTCAGGCTTTTCCTCCCTTTTCTTTTTGGAAGGGGGCTGGAGGAATGGTACTCATTTATCTCCCGTCATTGCTCTACAGTACATGATGATAGCAGTATCTATATCTTTCTGTGTTAATTTCCATCAAAGCACAGCTACATGTAAAGTATGTTGCCGGAGGTTTTACCCTGTAAATACAGGGGGCATCTCCTTCCCATGAATGTTATTATCATTAATGCACACATTCCCCAATCAGTCAGTCTTCTTTTTTCCCCTGATTGGAGTTTCTATGACAACACAGGAACACTGTGATTTTGATTTATGGAACTTCTGCAAATCTACCATTCTGCTACTTAGGAGGAGAAATGATCTCTACCTAGGACATCAATGCTACAGGAAAAAAACAACACTGACAG